TTTGCAGGTTTTAACCCCCTTTCCAACAACCCTCCCCCCTCCCCCCTCCCCCCTTCCCTGCAATAGCTCGAGAAAAGCTAGTTTATCGGTGCATTGCGCAGCTCAGTTGCAAGTTGCACAGGTTGTGTGGAAGTTCGATTAAGAGAAGCGGTTACTAGAATGGATGTAGCAGTACTTCGAGCTTTATAGAGTTGGTACCTTCAGGAAAAAGAGACTAAGAGAGAAAGAGAGAAAGGAGAATGTGTGAGAGCTTTTTACGATGAACCTTCTTCTCTCAGAGTGCGCGCATGTCGAGCGAGAAATTCGAGGGTGCTTTTCTTGAATTCCCTTTTCTATGCTTTTTCGCTTTTCCTTCCTGTGACTCTCTCTCTTTCTCTCTCTCTCTCTCTCTCTCTCTCGCTCTCTTTCATTTTCTTTTTATTCTTTTTATCACTATTCCCTATATACCCCCTATCGTATTCCCCTAGTTTTTCTTTTTCTCGCGTGCTACTTTTTTTCTTTTTTTTTCTTTTTTTATTCTTTTTCTTTACTTGCAAAACGAGGTTTCGTTCTATGACAATACACAGAGAAACTTATATATGTATGTATGTATGTATGTATGTATGTATGTATGTATGTCTTCTTCTTCTTTGGGTTAATGTTAAAAAGTCCTGACCTTCTTGTAACGCAATACTTTACTGTTTATTTTTATTATTATTTTTGATATTTTCAAACGGTGGCAGAGAAAGTATCTCTTCGTGCAAACCGGGTGAAAGGAAAGTTATTTCCTTTAGGATGTTTGGTAGGTGTAGGTGTAGGTGATGGTGATAGTAGGGGTGGAGTTTTGTGTGTCTTTAAAACGACACGCACGGAATGCAATAAGAGACTGTCGAGAGACAACGTCACTCGGTTTTCTTTTTGTAGGCAAGGGAAACTCGCTCACGTATTGCGTTTCTTTGACGTTACCGTTTCGCTTTCGGTCGTCGTCGTTTTCCTCGTCGTCGTCGTCGTCGTCGTCGTTGTCGTCTTCTTCTAAAATGCGAAAATTGATATGTCGGGAAAGCGTTTCCTGATATCGTTCGAGAAATTTTTCCTTCCTTCATCGTATATACATATACAGATATATATATATAAATGTATATGTATATATATATATAAGGTTTGACAGAGTAGACATTTGCTTTTCATCCTATTCCTACGATGAAGTAGGAATCGTGATAAAATAGATAACTTATTTAAAAAGTTAAATCGATATTAATTAAAATCGATGTATGTAATTAAAACTGTGCAACGCAATGGGTCTACTACCATCCCATCCATTTTACTTTTTTGTATACTCATAAATTCATTACCAAACGTACGTTTCTTAAAGTACATTTGTTAATTAAGCGATAATAACTAATTATTATTATTATTATTATTAAATGTAATGTTATCGTTTTTCACCGTTCTATTTGGTTATTTAATGCAAAAATAAATTTTCTCCATTTAAATCGAATAATTAAAATAAGATTAAGAAAATACATAAAAAAAAAAAAATAAAATATAAAATATAAAATATAAAATGAGATGAAAATAATTGAATGAAATGAAATATAAAAATAAATCTGTACCTACCTTGATAAATATTTTCTTTTTTCTTTTTCGTTAACGTAAAAAAAAAAAAAAAAACACACATGGAACATAATATTATAATTGGAAAATATAAATATATATATAAAAAAGAAAAATAATGAAATAAACCATGAAGGAAATAAACACATAGAAAATATGAAGAACAAAAGGCGTATTTGCCGAGGTGGAGATGTGACGTTTAATAGTAAATCAATAAAATTAATGAATTAAATAAATAAATTAAAAATGTTTATACACATATTTATATATATAATATATATAATATAATATATAAAACATAAATATATATATATATATATATAGGATCCCGAGACTGCTGAAAATACAGCACGTCGTCTTTCTCTCTCACTCTCACTCTCTCTCTCTCTCTCTCTTTCATTCTTTCTTTCATTTTCTCTCCCTTTCTCTCTCTCTCTCTCTTTTTTTCTTTTTTTTTTACACTATTAACTTCGTTTCCTCCCTTTGATTAATTGATGAAAACCCTACGCAAGAATTTTGTGAGAAGATCAATGCACTTAATTTATAAATAATTATTATTTCGTTTAAATGACAAAAAAGGTTCTCATGTTAGTTGAATTTGTTGTTGTTGTTCTTTTTTTTTTTTCATTTAATGTAAAAAGATATTCTTTAATTAATGAAAATGATCTTCTCATGAAACAAAATTCTCTGAACGTCGTGTCTCTCGTGTAATCAACATAAATACTTATATATATATTGTTTATATTTTTAAAAATAATTATAAATTATCCTTTTGTTTTTTCTCGTTGTCTCAAATCAAATCCTGTTGTCTTATCTTTGACGTATCAAATATGGGGGTTTTTTGTTTTTTGAAATGAGAGAATGATTGTTTAAAAAAAAAAAAAACTCGTATCCAAATCTCGTTGAGCAATTTTACACGAAATGTAATTTTGTTTTTATTTTTTTATTTTTTTTTATTTTTAACGAATTTTAAACAAACACAAACATATTTTTATTACTTCCGAAAGTTTAAATGTACGATATTATTTGTAATAAATTTTTTTTTTTTTTTTTTATAGGGAAAATGTGAAATATTCAACGTTCCAATTAAATAAAGTTTGTGAGACTAAAAATGATTTTTCATCCACGTTTCATCCGTTGTTTGATTTTTTCTCTTTTTTATTTTTTATTTCTACTTTTTAATGTTCATTTCGTTTTTTTTTTTTTTTCTTTTTCAATAGTTTTTTCTTTAGACTTATTGTCAATTTTAAATTAAGTTCGTCGTTTCGACGATGTGTCCTATTTTTCTTTCTAAAAAAAAAAAAAAAAAAGAAAAAAAAAACAAAAACAGAAAGAAACTGTGCATTTTTTTCTCTCTCTTTCTCTTTTGTTGCCTAGTAAAAAAAAAAAAAAAAGGAAGAAGAATAAGAAGAAGAAGAAGAAGAAGAAGAATTAGGAATAGAAGAGAGAAAAATAGGAAATATAACAACAACAACAACGGTAACAACAATAACAAAAAACAACAAGCTAGAGTAGGACAACGAGGATAAGAAAGAACAAAAAGGATTTAAAAAAAAAAAAAAAAAAAAAAAAA